AGTAATGCAGCGCATTAAATGCAATGCAGTGAAATAACTTACCTGTCTATAAAAAAAAGTGCATAACGTCTAAATTTACATATCTAAATCAAATATAATTTTGTAAATTGCATAAACAATTATGAACAAAACAGCATAATGTATGCATTGCTTGCAAAGAGCTGAATCGCCGATCACACAGATTGCATTAAAAAAATTATTAGGACACGGTGAAAAGGAATAAACCTCCACAAATTTGCGCCGTGTTTTCTAAACGTTAAAACTGTTTAAACTTTGTGTGAGACGCGAGTGCAGCAGTCATAGTTGTCCGTCTAAAATGTTTATTTTTAAATTTGACTAATATGTGACCCTGGACCACAAAACCAGTCTTAAGTCGCTGGGGTATATTTGTAGCAATAGCCAAAAATATAAGGACACGGTGAAAAGGAATAAACCTCCACAAATGTGCGACGTGTTTTCTCAATGTTTAAAATATTTACACTTTGTGTGAGACGCTAGTGTAGCAGTCATAGTCAGAGGCGTCATGCCCATTCAAATTTAGGGGGCACGTGCCCCCTCAGATTTGAGCCAAGTGGACTTTGAATGCAGCTTCCAAAGACAAAAAATAGCCGATTAATATTTTCTATATTTAATACAATCACACCAGCGTGATTTGAACATTCAGTGCATCATATAATCAGCTGCTAAATTCAAATCTGCGTTCACTGGCTGGCGCTTAGCCAGATACAGATGTGTTTTTACAGCACTGCGCATTAACCAATCACACACGATGCTGTTGAACTTATGAATGCAATGACCAATCAGAGGTGTTCAGATGAGTCCTCGCTAAAATGCTGTTTTATTCACTCGCTCGCTGACTGAATACCTCTGTCTTGCGAATTCTCTCATCAGAAACAACAAAGTGCAAATGTTTGTACGAATCTGTAAGATTAATTTCATAGTGTAAACCGCTTCAGTGATTTTACTGGGAGTTTTTGTGAGTGCTTGAACTAGACTGTCAGTGAAAATGTTCTTTGATAATGTAAATGGTCTTTGCTTTCTTTCTGTACAATGAAAGTGTTATGATTAGTAGCCTAACTTGCAATATTTTTATTCACATTAACTTTCAATGTTAAATTCACATTAAATATTAACTCAAGTCGTATAAAAAATATTGTATGGCATGACACCCATATCTGTTAATTAAGTGTAAACCGGTTTTTATGCATAGTTAATAATTACATTATTAGGTTACTTTGACCATCGCCCATTATAGATCAACACAATCTATAAAGGTGAGAATCAAGATATTTCATGATATAGTTAATGTAAAAATAAATAAAACATAAGTGCTGTTGTGGCAGCTGTGTCACATGATGAACACCCCATCCCCCCCGCCCACCCCCAACTCGTGCCCCCTCAAAAATGAGTGCATGATGCCCCTGGTTATAGTTGTCCATCTAAAGAATGCGCTGAATATGCGTTCTGTGTGAATGGCTTGGTTTCGGTTTTAACCTAATCAAGATCTCCTACACATTGAGCTACTATATTTCTTGAATATTTTGAAAGAATAACGCAGCAACGGTGCATCTCTTGGGCTAGACTAAGAAAGCATTAAAATGCAACAGCGTCACTTACATCATCATCACCGCATCTCATGCACCGCTGATGACACTCCCTGATGCCCACCTAATATTCGATTGTAGCATTCAGATCCAAATGTTTATTTTTAAATTTGACTAATATTCTTTTTTTTTTTATTCACAATCTCCTCATTTCAGCATGTGCTCGTGTGTGCTTGTCACTCATAGCACGTGCCTATATCGTGCGCTATATCAAACATTTTTTCTATCGTTATCGATGGTGTACCGTTGATAAATACCGATACCGTTTTATCACCCAGAGCTACTTACTATAGGGTTAGGATTAGGGTTTGTTGCTTGTAATTATGCATAATTTGTTTACTGTTATTACTATATTAAGTATAGTACTATAGTAAGTACACGTCACCAGGTCGCTGTTAAATAGTGTTATCCTTTTTTCCAGGATTCTTTGAATAGAAAGTTCTAAAGAACAGCATTTATTTCAAATAGAATTTTAAAATAAAATACTTTTTATCACATTTATTTGCCTGTATTTAGCAGTTACCCCAGTGATGCTCTGATCTTGGGTGGTTCATATCACAATTTTCTATTCATTCTGTTTTGACGAGTGCTTTTTGCTAAGGGCAAGCATATTAGATTCCATGAAAACACAGCAGACTTTGCCACTCATAACCTCCAAACTCTTGAGTGCTTAGACCTTGTCTGTCAACTGTTCTAGCCTGCAACAAATCTGTTGTAGTCTGCAACAAACCCCTATATTGGATAGCCTATAAGCTTGTTGTCTTAATGTTGCAAAAATATATTTATGGCAGTGTAAAATAGTTATTCTTTCTCTCTTGTTCTCACTTCTCAATCCTGGCAGTCTTAACTAGTCTGTTTGCTTCATACCTACATGGATATCACAGTAATGCTGCCTCCATTCTTTACAAACTTCCCAATGTGGACTGGGGTGGGAAATACTCTGTGAAATGAAAGTGTTTTTAAAGTACATTTATTTGGTGTTTTTCCTAAATCTACTGTGATCTTTTATTCTTCACACAAGTATTGCACTCATGCCATTGACTCGTTCTCCAGCAGTGTATCGCAGCCATGTTACTGAACAGACTGTATTAATGGAGCGTGTGCGTACTCCTGCTCCTGTGGATGATCGGAGTGCTTCTGTACAACATATTTATAGTGCTGGATCAGCATTTTGACAGTCTGGATATGTGTGTACATGTCTGTTTATCTGCACTGTGATCCATTCATCTTGGCCCCAATCTGTAATTTTGATAATCCTAGTATGGGCCATGAGTTTTTAGCTCTATGGAGTGTGATGCCAGAACTTACCTTGTGACTTAGTGGCTGCCTCAGAGAGGCAGATCTTTAACACAACATCCTTATCTTTTAGAAATTTGGGATTGTGTTTGAGGTGCTGTCTGTATGGAGTTCAAGTGTCATTGACCTTGTCAGTTAGTGAGCTGTACAGCAACTGTAGCAAAGTGTTTCTGCATGAGATGAAGTAATATTTGCTCTTCAGCTGTATATTAAAGAACAAAAACAAAGTGACTTAGCTTTGCTTAACTTCAATATACATAACCATTTACTTGAGCATTATGTGCTTGAGTAGTTTCCATGGTAGAGGGAATTTTCTTTTTTGGAAAGAGAACTAAAGTAGTTATTTATTTTAAAAAGAACTACTGAAACGTTCACCCAATGCTTTCCAAAATTCTGTTATTAATTATAATAGCCTGCTGTAAGTCAGAAAGCAGTTTAGGTAGGACTCTGTATACTGGTTTACTTCTGTATCCTCACTGCCTTTCTCTCACTGCAGGGGCCTCGGGTGATTGAAGGAGGTTAAGCAGCATCATACACTTTGATATATGGGTAAGCATTCACCAAACACTTCACTATGACAAGCAAATTATGATCTTGCATGTTTGTGTGATGGGGTAAAAAACATTTTTTTCCTCTTTTTTTTTTTTAGGTCAACCAAGGAACCTGTTCTCTCAGCAATTGAGCGCTATCGGCACTAAATGCTCCTGCTCAGTGGACAATAATGTGCAGGTCTGTGAAATAATTTAATATCATAATTTAACATAAGAATGACAATGTGGGAATAGTGTGTAATTGTTTTTTTATATATATATATATATATATATATATATATATATGAAAATGCTACTAGGTGTTAATCTTACTGTTTTTAATCAAAGATGAGAAATCATTTATGCAACTAGATTACAAATTTTTACCTCTATTTTTTTCCCTTTTCTTTCTGTTTGTCCTGTATAGTCCTGTTGGAGTGTGGTGTGATGTGATGTGGCAGCTTGGGAAATCTTGAGTGCAGCACAGGATGCATCATGATTGTATCCAATTTTTAAATAAACTGTTAAGATCCCTATGTCTGGTTTTTGAGAACATTTTTTTTAGATGAAACCATTGCATTTTATGTGGAACTGCAGAACCTTGATCTTGTAGCTGACTTGATGTATGTTTTAGAGTTCTTGCTAAATATTAATATTTTGGTTTAGCACAATTTCATGTATATCCATTAAACTTACTTGGTGAGACTTAAAAAAAAATACAGAGGGGAAAAAGACTGTCTGCTTAAGAGCTTGTTCTGTAGGTCTATAAACAGACAGACCTCTGTAACTCAGTAGCACTCAGGCTGCTGTCCAGTATTAATTAAGGTCAGGGTGCTATGTTTCTCTTGTTTTATCACTGCTGTGTCCTATTGTCTGACAGCTACTTCTGGAAATTGTTCGAGAAGGAAAATAAACCTGCAGTCTGAGAAGTGTGGTGCAGTAAATGTGGGTTCGGGTTTTTTGACCAGTGTTAACATACACTTAAGAGGATTTTCAGGGATTGTTAAAGTGTTATATGATTGTCAGTAAAATATGAAAGTCATGTCATTTCGGACTGATACATTTGATTGCTTAATAATCATAATTTACTAACTTGTGTCCTATTGTCTGACAGCTACTTCTGGAAATTGTTCGAGAAGGAAAATAAACCTGCAGTCTGAGGAAGTGTGGTGCAGTAAATGTGGGTTCGGGTTTTTTGACCAGTGTTAACATACACTTAAGAGGATTTTCAGGGATTGTTAAAGTGTTATATGATTGTCAGTAAAATATGAAAGTCATGTCATTTCGGACTGATACATTTGATTGCTTAATAATCATAATTTACTAACATGTCTGTTGGCAGAAAAAGTTGCAAGTTCTGTTAGAGACACATCTAAGATTACACTGGGGAAAAAATTGTAGAAACAATTCTCTAAGAAATTGCTAGTAAACTTTACAATTCAAAATAATCAAGTAGCACGTTGAATTAAAAGGTTTTGAAGATTAAAAAAAAAAAAAAAAGTATTTTCTTCTAAAACATACTCCAATAGTCGTTTATTGTAACTGAAATATTTTTTATAGTGTACTTGGATTTGTGTATTCAGGTTGGGCCTACATAATCAATTTATTTGCCAAAATTGGGATTTATTGAGTTCAGAGTGATTCAAAGACAATCCTCAGATTATCCCCATGTTCCAGGATATCTCAGAAATGCTCAAGCCTTTCTGTGTGCTGCATGCTGACAATGGAACGAGGGAAAGGGGGACAGGGAGGGAGAATTTGGTGGTGTGTGACCAATGGGCTTGCCTGATGTATTTTTAATGCACATGAATGATTGATCACTGTACGTGGACATGCTCCCCCAAGGGGCGGCTGCAGTCTGGTGCTGTCGGTGCAGATATGAGTGTGACGAGGGGACCTTCTGGACTGAGCATGAACACTGTGGAGTTAAAGCATCAGTGGGCAATGCAGAGAAATCGCACTCTGGTCCGGACATACCTGCTCTCCAGTTCTGTGCTCCCACTTCCTGGCTCACGGAGCAGAGATGATTTCAGACTGCCATCATTATTGTCCAGATCAACACATGGTCGGACCACCGCGGTGCCTCTCAGGTAAGCTGATATCTGTTGCCTCGAAGCCTGGTGTTCAGCATCAGCAATAGAGAGAATTGACTACTGTATGTGATATCAAAATTGCATGGTAAAAAAAAAACCCGACATGAAATTTTATTTGTAGTATTTATAGTATATATAATATTTAAGTGTTTTAATAAAACATTCTCTAAATTTAAGAGAACTTTACATTTAATTTTAATTATAAATAATTGTAACTGTTTTTAAAACTGAAGATAAGTTAAATACTTACAGCAACATGTTCCCAAGAATGGTTTAAATTTGTTGGGGTTTGCCTTAAACTTCAAACCTGTACAAATGTGAGTGCAGATACAGCTCTTCATCAGCCAGTAACAGGAAGTGTCATCCTTTGCACAATGGAGAAATGCTTCAGAAACCTGAGAAACATTCCTCTTACGTGGCAACACACCCAAAAGCTCACGGGGGGGAAACAACAGCTAAATTACACAGATTATCAAATGACAGCAGCCAATGTTTCCAGTGTTTCTCAAGCTGTACAATATATGCTGTTCTGGCCATATTATGAAATCAGCAGAGGAAAGAAATCTATTATAAAACAAATGTCATGAATAAAATATTTGTTTTGGAGGGGAGTGACACCACATTTTACAACCTGAACTAACTAATGAACATGTTATACTTTCAAAAAATAAAGCATGTTCATCATAGAATACCTCCTACATCTTTGATGTTGCAGTGGCTCAGATGATTGATTGATTGATTGGCAGAACAGTGGCAAAGGATTTAATGGCCCATTTAGTCTTGTGTTTCTGGACTGGCAGCTCAAAATGTATTTCAATGTTTTCAAAAAAATTATTAGTCAGGATTTAACATCTGTTGATTTTTTTTCTATTATTTTTGTTTTGTTTTTGAAAGTTTATGCACACCAAGGATATGTTTCTTTTATCATAAATGGTGAAAACATTAATACTGTGAAATACTATTACAAATTAAAATGTATTCCTGTGCTTTCCAGCTTTGCCACAAAGCTGAATTTTCAGCAGCCGTTACTCGTCTTCAGTGTCACATGATCCTTCAGAAATCATTCTAATATGCTGAATTGCTCAAGAAACATGTCTTATTAATGTTAAAAAAAGCTCATTTGAAATAGAAATCTTTTGTAACATTCTTTACTATTAATTCGATCATTTAACTTGATCAGTTTAATGTGTCCTTGCTGAATTAATTATTATGAATTTCTTTCGAAAATAAATCTTATCGACCCCAAACTTTGAATGGTAGTATTTGTCAGAACGTTATCCTTTCATTCCTTCAGCTTTATAATTGAAGAAGTTCTGTTTAATCCTCACATGTGTCTGTTTTTGGTCTCCTCTGATCTCTCAGTGTCAGTGAGCCCTGCTTGTTCACCCCAGGCCAGAGAGCAGTTTTCGAGGGGTTTTCAAAAATCCACCATCCCCTTCTACACACACCTGGCCCATCTCCCTCCTGCAAGACCCTTGAGAAACCAAAGATGCCTCAGCAGAGCTATCATCAAGTGTACATGCATTTCTCTCAGCCTCTGAAGCCTGTACCAAAGGTTGGACAGGCCTTTACTCACAGTCAGCAGCAGGCCACAGAGAACAGAGGCCTGCAGCCGTTAGTGAGGCAGCGCAGGCAGCCCGCAAACCTAGAGACTTTATCTGTCAGAGGAAAGACTTGCCTTCCTACACAGCATTTACCCACATCTTCATCTAGTGCATCTCGCACACAGCTGCACGTGTTCTTGCCTGCAGAGGGTGCTGGACAGGAGGAAGACAGGGACAGTGAGTCAGTTGATGAGGGTTTCATGGATGAGCTGGATAACAAAGTCACCAACCTGAGACTTCTACAAGATCCAAAGACCCCCAAACAGATAGAAAAATCACTGACGGGTCAAATGGTAAAATTAACTTCCTAGTGTCATGCTTTTAATTGTAGCATTTCATATTTTGATGTGTGTTGTACGCTAACACTGATAACTACAGAAATGACAAGTTCTGTATTTACCAATTTGAACACTAGTTTAAATTTGCTCTCAAGTAATTTATGTAAATCATAATTTATGTAATTACAATAAATCTAAATTATGATTAAGTGTGTTCTGATGTATAAAAGGAAGGAAATGTTCCTGACATTACAAAATGTAAACTGTTCATATAAAGGTTATAAATCTCTTTTAAATTAAAAGCATTTGTATGTAAAAATATCGGTTGGCTAGTTATTGTTTTTTTTTTTTTTAAGAATTTCCCTTCGATGTCAGCTTCACACTCCATCCCAGTTGGTGGCGCAATGGACCCTTTTCCACAAGACTGTGATAACTGCCGTTATCAGTCTCTCAATGTTTCCCCTTTTATTGAAAGTCATGAAAACACTTATCGTGGAGTTTTTCTTTTGCTATTTGAGCAAATGGGAATGCAAAAAATATATTTGTGGTACTCTCCCCTTCACCGCTCTTCAAGTAAACCCACGTATGACGACTTCAGCTGCTGAGAACCTGGAAATGTGAAAAAGGTCCATTGACCCAGAGCCAACTGGGCCAATAATGCAATGTTCTACAGTTACTGTATTGTCATGTCTGCCAAACTTATGGGTCCATATCTTCAAAATGCTACAGTATTAAAAATTTCTGAAAATTTGCATGGTAACAGTCAAGGGCCCTGGGAATAAGGTCCCAGTAGAACTTTTAACGCACCCTCAAAGGCAGCTGAGATATAGAGCCTCCAATTGGGCCAATAATGCAATTTATCCTATTGTATAGTCCTATCTGCCAAAGGTATGGGTCCATATATTAAAAATGCTACAGTAAAAATGTCAGACAATTTGCATGATAACAGTCAAGGGCCCTGGGAATAAGGCCCCAGTAGAACTTTTAACGCACCCTCAAAGGCAGCTGAGATACAGCGCCTCCAATTGGTCCAATAATGCAATGTTCTCCTGTTACTGTTTTGTCATATCTGCCAAACTTATGGGTCCATATCTTAAAAAATGCTACAGTAAAAATGTTTGAAAATTTGCATGGTGACAGTCAAGTGAATAAGCCCCTAGTGAAACATTCAACGCACCCTCAAGGGCAGCTGAGATATAGCACCCTCAGTAGGGCCATGAATGCAATAGTTGAAGTCTATATTGTCATATATGTCAAATTTATAGGTCCATAACTTCAGAATGGTACCGTAAAAATGTCTGAAACTTTTCATGGTGATAGACAGACAGTCACACTGGGTATAAGCCTCTAATGAAACTTTCAACGCAACCTCAAGGACAGCTGAGATTTTGCGCCTCCAATAGGGCAGTCAGTGCAATGGCCCATTCAACTGTATAGTCACATACTCAAGGACAGCTGAGATTTTGCGCCTCCAATAGGGCAGTCAGTGCAATGGCCCATTCAAATGTCATATTTATAGGTCCATCTAAATGGTACAGTAAACATGTCTGGTATATATATATATATATATATAAAATTCTTTTATTTATTTATTATAATGGACAAGTACATATATAAGCACCCTGTGAAACTTTCAACACACCATCGGAGACAACATGGTACAGTAACCAAAAATGCAATGGCTCATTCAGTTAAATTCATATTTCACAACACATATTGTTTCAGAGCAGCCTTACAGAAAATGCAAGTTTTTCTGTTATAAAACCAAAATATTCTTTATAGGAGTAGGTATGAAAAAGAACAGTTGAAGTCTAGTACAAGTTATAGTATTTACAAATACCATATATGCATTTAAGCAAACTTTGTGTGCATTTTAAAGCAATGAAAATGTCATCATTTTGTATCTGGAGTCCTCTATTCACAGGTGCTGGGTCATATGAAGTCTTCATAAGAGGCTAGATTAAAGGGGTCATATGATGCGATTTAAATTTTTCCTTTCTCTTTGAAGTGTTACAAGCTCTTGGTGCATAAAGAAGATCTGTAAAGTTTCAAAGACTAAAGTCTCAAATCCAAAGAGATATTGTTTATAAAAGTTAAGAGTCAACCACGCCTACCTAAAACGGCTCGTTCTAACACGCCCCCACATATCTACGTCACGATGTGGGAAGATTTGCATAACGCTGCCCAAATGTTCACGCAAAGAAAGAAGGCGTAACTTTTATTCTCGCTGTAGTATTGTTGTTGCTGCCGCCATGTCGAGACGCTGTGTGTTTCGTTGTGAAAGCGAAACTACTTTGTTTGGTCTTCCAAAAGAGAACGATAACCGCTTCGTCATGCCTAGAGCTGGTCCGTGCTGGTTGCTGAGGGAATACATCAGACATGGTTTTATGTTTACGCGGCATGATGCAACCAACGCGTAAAAAGACAGTATAAGTCATTATAATCCGTAATTATGTCCCCACTGGATGCAACAAATGCCTCGTTTATAATGGGTTTTAAAGGGGTCCTATTATGCTCTTTTACAAAGTCTTGATTTTGTTTTGGGGGTGTACTAGAACATGCTCTCATGCTTGGTGGTTTGAAAAACGCATTATTTTTCACATAATTGACATTATTAAAATACCTTTCTCCCCAGCCTGGCACAAACGGCTCGATTAGTTCCGGCTTTGATGAAGGTCCACCTTCCGAAAAACAAAATGTGTTGGGATTGGTTAGCTGTTCCAGTGCGTTGTGATTGGCGAACAGCTTAGACGGTGTTTCAGTACTGCCACGCCCCTTGCTCCGTCTTTCATCAAAAGCTTTTTGGCGAATCCGGCACTGTACTCCCTCATGTTGTGGAAGCTGTCCTCAGTAAAATGCACAGCACACAATAGCAAATTAGGTTATAATGCTCAGGAACAGAGTAAAAAAATGTATTGCAACCACTGTTTTTGCTGACATCATCCGCTTTCGGAAGCCCAAACAAAGACGTTTGTGCATGGAGGTGAAAAAAAAAAACTGCGTTTCAGGTGGTCGCACACCAGAAGAGAAGCGCAGTGTCGCATCGCGCCACGTCTTCAAAATTCAAATACATTATTTTCTATGAGTGTAGCACACCGGTGGCGCCGTTCGGCATCTGTCCGCGGTGCCCAGCTACGTCGTGTTATACTTGTCAGAATTGTTCTAGACATGCCGAAAATTTGACGCTACAGCACAGCAGCTCTTCTTGGTTTTCTCTGACGCACAAACTCTGCAGCAGCACTTCTTCATTGTCTCGTCTCATGCGCTCACTCAACCAAGCGTTCTAACCACAACCTCGCCCCTCCCCACCCCCCAACCATTCAAATTTCTGTAGGCGGGAATTCTTTTTAATGATCTTCTAATGAGCAACTTTGTGATATCACAAAGTCCGGAAACCAACGCTGTAGTCTAAACGAGCCATTCGTTGTAGTTCTTGAAAAGGGATTTTTTTTTTACGAAATATCTCCCTTTGGAGTGGACTTTGAGATTTGTAACTTTCTAGATCTTTTTATGCCCAAACATACACACTACACACTGACTAAAATTAAAAAAGTGAAAAAGCATAATAGGACCCCTTTAATGTTTTTGAATCGTCGCCCTGGGACAGGGCATCACAGTATGGTAAGGGGCGTGACATTTCTGTCACACGCTTGAGGTATTCGGCCAATCACAACGCACTGGATAGCTGGCCAATCACAGCACACCTCGCTTTTCAGACCGATGAGCTTTGTAAAAATCGACGGTTTTCAGAAAGGCAGGGCATAGAGGAGAAACAATAATGTACAGTATGTGGAAAATTATGTGTTTTTTTTACTTTAAACCGCATAAACACATTTCATTACACCAAATACACAAAATAATGTTCTTTTTAGCAACATCATATGACCCCTTTAAAAAAATTTATTCATTACTGCACTCAAAGGATGACATGTTCAATAATTAACGAATAATGTAATTAGATTTAATGGTGACAGTCCGTTTTCGCTCTTATCTCAGTGTTTACATTTTAAAATAGTTTATTGTTCGTTTCTGAAAGAGACACAAATAGAGAAGGTCCCTAAGTAGAGCGTCGCGTTTTTAAGGTTGAAAGGGTAGCGTAAAAATGACTCACAAGTCAGAAAACAAAAGTCGGTGACACGCACTTATCCATCTGCGCCACTGGAGCTGATGTTCACAGCCACTTTTTACTAAATGTAAATATACACCATGTATTTTTTATTCCATAGTAAGGGCAATTCATACAATACATTTAAACTGAGCTACTTTTATACCATCTCCGAACTTTCTACCACGACTCTGCTGTTCTTCGGCTGGTTCTTCCTGTATTAGGAATGAGAATGTGACGTAACGCCGCGTTGAGTTCTGGGAAACTGCTTGTTTATCCGCCATATTTGCAGGATAGCGCTGCTGTTTCGCTATTGAGTTTAGGGCAGTATAAATTTATTTAAGCATTTTCCTCTCATATAAAGAACGCGCTTAATGCACCGAGGCGGTGATATTTAAAGACCACATTCTGTACACACATCTTACTAATAAAGCATAATATGTGTGGAAAAACAGATGAGCCCAAAGTACGAACTTTAGAAATCGCTGTCTTAATCCAGAAGCGCTTTCTACATCACTGTCTTAAGCACATTGAACCAGCATTTGAATTTCTCAAACTATACCTACCTTTTCCGGTTTGTCATTGTGTTTTCTGACTTGTTAATTTGTTTTCAGATTTGTTGTTGTGTTTTCTGACTTGTTATTTTGTTTTCGAATTTGTCGTGTTTTTCTGACTTGTTATAATGTTTTCTGAATTGTAGTTGTGTTTTCTGACTTGTTATTTTGTTTTCGAATTTGTCGTGTTTTTCTGACTTGTTATAATGTTTTCTGAATTGTAGTTGTGTTTTCTGACTTGTTATTTTGTTTTCGAATTTGTCGTGTTTTTCTGACTTGTTATAATGTTTTCTGAATTGTAGTTGTGTTTTCTGACTTGTTATTTTGTTTTCGAATTTGTCGTGTTTTTCTGACTTGTTATAATGTTTTCTGAATTGTAGTTGTGTTTTCTGACTTGTTATTTTGTTTTCGAATTTGTCGTGTTTTTCTGACTTGTTATAATGTTTTCTGAATTGTAGTTGTGTTTTC